TGCTAATATGAATGGGTTAAATGATCCGTAGTACATGATATGTAGCCCTGTACCCCCTTTTCCACTTACAGAGCTAGGTTATTTTTCTTTTAAATAAATATTCATGTAATTTTATTGGTATCTATCTACCAGTAGCTGCCTCATTTCCCACCCTCGGCTTATATTCGGGTCAATACTTTTTCCCAGTTTTTTTGGGTAAAATTAGGTACCTCGGCTTATATTCGGGACGGCTTATACTCGAGTATATACGGTAATTGTTGTTATAAAAAAGTAGTGACCGCCCTTAAAGGGCCACTCAGGTTTTGGAGACAGTAGTCCCCTGGGTCTAGATCTGCGCAGAGAATAAAGAAGATTTGTATTCCTGAAGTCTGTGTCCGGAGTCCATTGCTGGTTTCCAGAAGCTGTTTCCCGCTACAGAAGCACATCATCTGCTAGTGGAGAGAGAGGAGACAACAGATCATGGTTGGATGGGGATAAATAAATCAGTGAGGACAGATCATGGCTGGGTGAGTGGCTTGAAAGGATGGATAATGGAAGCATTTCATGGCTTGGTGGGGAAGATGGAAGCAGGGGTGAGAGAACATGACTGGGTGGGGAGAGAGGAGGCAGAGGGAAAAAATCATGGGTGAATGGTCACATGAGTAGAAGAATTAGGAGCAATTCATTGTCGAGTGAGGCAGAGGAGGTGGTGGTGGTGGTGGGGGGCAGGTCATAGCTGGGTGGGGGGAGGCAGGAGATAGCAGGACCAGATCCCAGTATGGAAGAAAGAGGAAGTAGTGGGAGCAGATCATGACTGGACTGGGAGAGAGGTGGTGGGGGGGAGCAGATTGTGGCTGGGAGGAGACAAGAAGAGGCAGCAGTATTAGAGCATGGCTGGGTTGGGAGAAAGATGATGCCTGGAGCAGACAATAGCTTGTTGGTTACAGAGAAGGCAGAGTAAGGAAATCTTGTCTGGCATGGGGTACGTAGGCTTCTAGCAGTTTGCTTCTAACTAGTGATGTAGTATACAAACACACAGAGCTGGCTAGGACAATTGAAATTCAATGCCTAATGTTAGTCATAGTCCTAATATCCAGGTCCAGCTGGATGTCCAGTAAATTAAGCCACAGAAGCAAGAGTAGATTGCACAAAACACTGACATACAATCTTGCTATCAATGGCACCCATCTAAACTTCCTTTTTGGATTATCCAAATCAAACCTTTTGTTTTTTATTTTGGAATAATGGCTAAAACCTCAATTTTTTTTTGCCATCTTTGTCTCATTGGGTAATTTGGGTATATTACTTTCTCTTCATAACGTGTAGATCCAACAGCAAGGGACTGTTAGACTGTTGTCACTGCGACAATTGTCCCTATTGGAAGATTTCCTCTCTGTTCCTGTTCTGGTAACATCTAAACATTTTGGATAATCGCATCACTTGCAATAGCAGTAACAATGGTGACCAGGACAAATATAAATCTTGGGGACGCAGACAGCAAAATCTGACAGGAGTCCTAACCCCTTGCCATTGTATCCTAAACTAATGAAGGAATTGGATGAAGAGGTCATTCAATTTAGGCCAGACAGCTTAAGGTGGCCATACACTCTACAACCATCGCAAGACCTTAGTCTTGCGATGGTTGTACAGGGATTAAAAAGCAGGGGTTGTACAGGGGTTGTACAGGGATTAAAAAAATCTTGGACAGGCAGATCGCACTCTTGATCATCGCAAGCCCGCCCCCCTGAGGGGCGGGCTTCCGATGGCCGCAATGCTGAACAGGCAGTGTGCGCGTGCGCACACCGGCCCATTCAGCATTTGTCTTCCGAGCACCGTTCTAACCAGCCGAGAATCGTACGATTCCCGGCTGGTTTTCGAACATGCTGGTTCGACGGAAGACGTGCGACCGTACAGTAGAAACGGTCGCACGTCTCCGTTCACACTGCTCGATTCTCGTACGATCGTGGGATTTCCCGCGATTCTCGTACGAGAATCGAGCAGTGTATGGGCACCTTAACTCCCGGACTGTAGTGCTGGTATAAGGGGAACTAAAGATAGATAAAGGGTTAATTGGGTGAGGTGGGGAAGGAAAGTCCCTCCCCCTGCCTTGTGAACAGGGTTGAATGCAGGATCAATAGGCGAGTGCAGCATTCTAATACATATGAAGTGCGGGTGAAATTGTCCACCATCTCTCTGCAGCCACTGACAGGTAAAACTTGGGGCAACATATAAAGCACACATGGTAATGCGATCTGGATCAATGCCTTTTACACCCCGATTTATTTAACTTTTTTATTTCTGCCAGCACATGTTTTGGGGTATTGATATGGCTTCAATCATTGATAGTACTTTCGTCATTTTTACTTTCTGCTGCATTTTCATGACTGCTGTTCTACGGATCTATAGAGCAAGCAATGCCTTCAGCTGGTGTGGTGCAGCTTTGTTTCCATCATTGCTGTCCATTTAATAAACGTCTCTTCAGCAGTTTTGTTCAGTAGAAGAATGTGTCAGATCTGCAGTTATCAGGTTGAGTGTTTTCCTAATTTTTTTAACATATATATCTGCAAATTTACAAACTCAGGAAAACAACTTTGCATGGTTTGTTCAACGCTGTACAAACAATGGTTTCCCATATATGTCTCCACATCTTCCTCTTACAGCTTCGGATTTGTTTGCAAAAATTGGTCACTTTTTTCTCCCAAAGCTCCCCAATGTTCAATGGACCTTATGTACGTATGGCCGAGCATTATTCAAGGTGGAATCCCACCCTGCCTGTTTCCCGGAATTAGAAATATGAACTAAAAATGAACTGATTAAACTTCATTAAGGTGACTTAACAAGCAATGTGAGCTACAAAGATCAAAGCTCAATGTCTGGACAAGGTCCTCTGGTACCCAAAGGTGAAAATGCTAATGTGGCCCCCCCTTCCTGAGCTGGGATGAATGGAGCTTGTACATGTATAGTGGCCAGAGCAGGGTACAGAAATGACCACAGCTAACCGCTGGTCCTAGGGTTACTACCGTTTGGTCCAAAATAACAGACTGGGTAGGAGGAGGGGCATGTTTTGATGTGGGTAAGCCAGTGTGATCTAGTCATTATTAAGGATTAGCTTCAGGTCCTGGTTGACCCGAACACAAGCTGTTCTCAGTATGCTGAATGGGCGAATAATTTAGCCAGTTCCTCCAACCATAAAACCTCCATCTTTGTCCTAGCAACCGATGGTGCTGTGTACCACTTCAATGGTAGAATGGTGGCTAACCCGCACAGGGTTTTTGGTTACTAAGACACAGGTGGGCACACCACGACAATCTATGAGGCTGTGAACTGAGTCATGGCAGACTGGTGGCTGAGCCACACAACAGCAATGGTAGCTAGGACACCAGCAGCCATGGGT